CCAGTTCGGCCTATTCTTTCAACCTCCCAAGGGTTTACCTCCTCAGAGGGAGTTGGAGCACGTCATTACTTTGAAAGAAGGGGAGACACCGATCAGCGTTCGCTCTTATCGTTACCCACAGATTCAAAAAGATGAGATTGAGAAGTTGATCTGGGAAATGCTGGAGGCGGGGATCATCAGACCCAACGTTAGCCCTTTTTTTAGTCCAGTTCTCCTGGTCAAGAAGAAGGATGGGAGTTGGAGATTCTGTGTGGATAACAGGGCTCTGAATAGGGGCACTGTACCAGACAAGTTTCTAATTCCGGTGATTGATGAGATTTTGGATGAGTTATATGGGGCAGTGATGTTTTCCAAGCTGGACTTAAAATCCGGATACCACTAGATCAGAATGAGGGAGGTAGATGTTCCAAAGATAGCCTTCAGGACACATGAAAGGCATTATGAATTTATGATAATACCCTTTGGATTGACTAACGCTTATGCCACTTTTTAGTCTTTGATAAACAGAGTATTCAAGCAGCACCTCAGGAAGTTTGTCCTGATCTTTTTTGATGACATTCTGGCGTACAAGAAGACTGTGGAAGAGCACTTGGAGCATTTGAGAGTGGTCCTAGAAGTTCTCAGGAGCATCAACTGAAAGCTAACCTTAAGAAATGCAGCTTTGCTTAGGCAAGTGTGGAGTACTTGGGACATGTGGTATCCCAGGGAGTAGTGGCGTACCAGACCAAAATTAAGGCAATGCAGAAATGACCACTGCCTAGGAACATCAGGGATTTGAGGGGTTTCGTAGGATTGACTGGTTATTACAGGAAGTTTGTGAAGGAGTACGATACCATTGCATGGCCTTTGACTGAACAGCTGAAGAAAAATAATTTTTCCTGGGGAGAGGCATCGACCCAGGCCTTCGAGAGGTTAAAGGAAACCATAACCACTATTCCTGTTCTAGCTCTTCCAGACTTTAGCCAGGTCTTTGTAGTAGAGATTGATGCATCAGGATATGGGTTGGGGGTCGTGTTGATGCAGAACCACAGGCCTATAGCATTCTTCAGTAAAGTGCTGTCGACCAGGGCAAGATTTTAGTTAGTGTACGAGAGGGAGCTGATGGCCATTGTCTTGGCTATTCAAAAGTGGCGCCCTTATCTGTTGGGTCGACACTTCATCGTTCGGATTGATCAAAGGAGCTTAAAGTACCTGTTGGAGGAAAAAATGGTAACTGAGAAGCATCAGCGATGGCTATCCAAATTATTGGGCTACGATTTCAAGATTCAGTATAGGTCAGGCTTGGAAAATAAAGCAGCTGACGCTTTATCCAGATGCATTTGGGAGCTCCAAGAATTAGCTGTGTCGGTACCTTTGATTGTCGACTGGGGAGCCATCAAGGAAGAAAGCATGCTGGATGAAGAATTGAGAAAGATCAGGGAAGATCTGAGGAAAGACAAGAGTAGCCATCCTGGTTACTGCATTGAGGGGGAGAGACTATTGCATCAAGGGAGGTTTGTGATGCCACGAACCTTCCTCCATATTCCCCACTTGTTGCAGGAGTTCCATGACAACGCAGTTGGAGGCCATTTAGGAGTTCAGAAGCTGAGCTTTACTGGAAGGGGATGCATAAAGATGTTGAGGAGATGGTGGTGAGGTGTGAAGTGTGCCAGAGAAACAAATACATGGCCATGGCTCCAGGAGAACTACTACAACCATTGACACTTCCTCCCAAAGTTTGGGAGGAAGTGTCAATGGAATTCATCGACGACTTACCCAAATCAGAAGGATTCACAGTCATCCTAGTGGTGGTTGATAGGCTCAACAAATATGCACACTTCATCCTCTTACGACATCCTTACACTGCTGTGTCAGTAGCAGTCGCATTTATTAGGGAGGTTGTTAGACTGCATGGGATTCTTGAATCGATTGTGTCCGATCGAGACAAAGTGTTCCTCAGCCAGTTTTGGACGGAACTGTTCAGGATGCAAGGCGCGGTTCTAAAGAGAAGCAACGCCTACCATCCACAGACCGACGGGCAAACGGAGGTGGTAAACTGAAGTTTGGAGACCTATTTGAGGTGTTTTGCTTCTGAAACATTGCGGATGTGGGCAAAGTGGTTTCCTCGGGCCGAGTATTGGTACAATACGTCGTACTATTCTGCCTCTTAGTGACCCCATTTAGAATGCTTTATCGAAGGGACCCCCCACACCTAGTGCACTATTGGAGAGGAAGTACACCGGTTTCTTCAGTTGAGTAGTACCTGGAGGAAAGGGACAAGGTGCTGGAAGAGTTAAAGAAACATTTGTTGAGAGCACAACAGATCATGAAGAAGCAGACAGACTCACACAGGAGGGACATGCAGTTTGAAGTGGGGGAGAAGGTATTCCTAAAACTACAACCGTACAAGCAGAGGACATTGGCGAGGAGGAATGAGAAATTGGCACCAAGGTACTTCGGCCCCTATGAAGTGTTGGACAAGATCGTAGCAGTGGCGTACTGACTGAAGTTGCCCTCATCAGCTACCATACATCTAGTTTTTCATATATCATAGTTGAGGAGAGCAATTGGTGAGCATGCAACTAGTACGGATTTACCAGTGACACTAACTGAGAAATTGGATTTCTAAATAGCCCCTTGTGGGCCCAATCAATTAATATAATGAGCTTTAGGAGGGAAAATATGAATTAAGGGGCTGTCTAGGGATTTCTAATGAGTCCTTTTGCTTTAATTAGGAGTTAAGGTATGAGTTAGGATTTCATCTTGAGATTGACTGAAATTTTGAGGTCTCCTTGTGGTTTGAGGCTCTAGGCTTTGCTAGAGAGTTTTGGAGAGTTGTTCTTCCTCTTGAATTGAAGAACATTGTATCTTACATTGTTTTCTTGCATCTACTAGTAAAATATTTGTTTTACCTCCCTATTTTCTACTGTTTTGTTGCAAAACCTGCTGCGTGAGTGGTGTTTTTCTGCTGTGACAGCAGTTTCCCTCTGTTTTTGTACTAATTTTGACTAGATTTGCTTGCGAACTCAAGTATTACCTTAGGGTTACTTGCTAACTCAAGTATTTCCTATCAGTTTCATCTCTAGCATTTTTGTTAGTATTTCCATGTACAAAGACTATAGGACTCAAAAAGTATAAAACGGTTTGCAGCCTTAATTTTTATCTTCAAGGTCACAAAACGACCTCCACCTGAGCTAGTGATTTACTTTCTTCTATGCTATAGAATTCTTCTGGGAACACAGCCTCACGGGCTGAGTTTTCTTCTTGCTATGATTATTTTTTTTTTACTTGGTCAAATAGTTGCTTATTACCATTGTTGTCCTAGGTCACAATGCTCTACACACGTAGAGTACTTCATTTTTCTGGGTGACCTTGGTCTTTTCACACCATTGTTTATGAGATGATTCTGACTTATTTTATTCTTGGTCTTTTTTTTCCCTATTATGGGTTATTAGTTTGCTTATTTTTTGGGTTTCTAGAAGAAATAAGCTTAATCTTGCAACCAGAAACTTATTTTCTAATGTTTGGATGTTGTTGTGGTTGTTTGGCCATCCAATCATTGCCATACTGAGAGGTTTCAAACAACTATGTCTAATCTGAGTTGCGATGCAAGAACTAATCAATGCTTTACTGCACCAACCACATGTGTCATACCAAGAGATGCCTACATATTATGTTATATAACAACAGTGCATTTTTGATATTTTTCTGATCATATTCAAGTCTTTATTCCTTTTCTTTATGGATTTGATATTTGGCTTATTTTCTTATGGATGTACCTTTTCTTGGGCACTTCATCTTCATCTCTGCTGAAGAAAATGATTTCAATTTACATTTATCATCCATGAATTCTCATTCAAATTTCATTACTAATCTTCTTGTATTGCTATTGTTTTTTGTTGGGATTGATTTTTTATTCATTGATCTATATCTTGTTTCTTTTAGTATAACCAAGCTTACATAATCTTTTTCCAACATGCTTAATGAGTTGGGCTCTTTCCCTATTTTCCCCTCACTTCTGTTGTCCATTTAAAATGTTGTCAAATTTTTGTTGCTTATTTTAAAAATTTGTTCTTCTCTTAGTTTGTCATGTCTTTTGTTTTTTTTTTTAATTTTTATGCCATAAAGTTATTCAATAGAATTGTAGCAAATTATTATTGAACAGTGTTAAATGCACCTAAACAGCACACATTGACTTGTAACTTTTTGTTTGCGTTGATATGATATAATTGTCTAAGTACTTGATTCTATGATGCATATTCCATTGTGTTATCAGTAATTTATATATCTAAATTTTCTTAGGATGCTTCTCAAAACATCCATTATTTTTTTTCCAAACCAGTCAGTAGAATGCCTCTCTTTACTTCCTTTTATCTAAGAAAGGAGGACTCATACTATGAAAACTATCATCTACTTTTCCATAAAGTTCTTTCCAACGTTGTTTTCCTTGTTAATAAAGATGATGAACTTCATAAGTTGGACACAAAGTTTAGATAAATCAAACTCGAAATCTCTGATTCTTATTATTTATTAACTTCTTGATTGATGTTGTCGCTGATTTCTGCAAGCTCCTTTTTTGTCTTATTTCTGCTCTTCAAGCTTAAGGGTGACGTCGATTTGAAGGGGTGGGTAACGATATGGTAGTAATTAGAAGGGATGAATTAAGTTAGTGGGTTACTGTGAGTCTTGGTAGTTTATAGATTGTTTGTTGATATTAAATGCTAAATGCATATTTAATGATTCTTTTTAATTCTATAAATACTCTTCATTGGGAGTTTTAGGACAAGCTGTGAATGAATGAAATAAGATAAGCCTCCCTCCCTATGATTATGGCTCCTTTGCTGCTGTTTGAATTTTTGAAGTTACCAGCATTCTTAAAATTTTTAATTATTATTATCCCCACTATGAGGTCGGATCATATATAACCAATTCATACAAGCATTTCTTGTTTCTATCTTTGATCTGCTTCTGTTTAAACTTAAAGTTGCATTTTCAAATACTAAATTTTGAATGTTTTGCAGATGAAGCTAGCATCAGTGAAATTGGCAATGAAATTCATGAAAAGAGTGACATCCGAGATTTCGGCTATAGCTTGTGGCCCTGAAGAAGAGGAACTTATGCTACAGGGGGTTAGGTTTGCCTTCCGAGTACATCAGGTACTATTTATTGACTTTTAAAGTTTAGGGTGAAAAAAGAAGAGAATATACACAATATGACGGGCTTTAAGACACAGAAATCACTTTCTCAAAGATATAACATAATTAAGGTTTCGTTTGGGACGACTTTCTTATTGCTTCTTAAAATAAAATTTTATTACAAAATTTAACTTTTTGTAGTAGAAAATTACTTTAAGAAATAGTAAAAAAGCTGTTCCAAATGGAGCATAAGACATTATTGATCAACACTTATCTTTTTAGACAATGAGCTCATTTTTTCCGGAATTTAAAACAAAACCCTCCTAATTATTTTCTTTTTATATGCTTATAGTTTGCTGGGGGTTTCGATGTGGAAACAATGCGAGCTTTTCAAGAACTGAAAGATAACGCGAGAAAACGTCAAGCTAACAAGCAAAATCAACAGCAGCAACAAAAGCTCTTCCATAGGTCCACCTCCTAATTCCTTATTGAGATTGATGAAGCTCATCAACTTCAACTTCTTCTCAGTACAATCAAAAAAGCACAGGACACACTCTTTAGCAAGTGGTCCTTGCACAACTTCTTGTTAAGAGACTCTAGAACAAGAAGTTATTCTTTTTTGTCTATTGTAAAGAATGTCAGACTGATATTCCTGGATAGCCACTTGATCTATATATTAAAGTAGATCCTATTTATATTATTAAACTTCATTCAAAATTAGAATGACCACGGAAGTTAAACATACCAAACTCTGTCTACTGTGTGTTCTTTGAATTTTTAGTAAGTCCGGTGTCCTAACGTAGCTCTACATTCGGACGCCAGTAAAATGGTGCCACGTGCTCCTACTCTTTACCACGCGGCCTGATGACCCCGACCCAGTTATGGACCCGGTATGTCTATGCATTGGCTGATTTGTGCAGACCGGGATATTGCTAGGTATTGCTCGGTAACGAGAAATACCATTTTGTCAAGACCAATACCGAACAATACCCCGATTTTACTAGGTATTGCTCGGTATTGGTAAGTATTGCTTGGCAATAATCAAGAGCGGTATTTCTCATTATTGCCAAGCAATACTTAGCAATACTTAGCAATACCGAGCAATACCTAGCAATACACGAACATAGCCATACCGGGTTCCGGTCCCGGTCGGGTCATCGGGCCGCGCGGTAAAGAGTAGTAGCACGTGGCGACATGTTATTGGCGTCCGAATGTAGAGCTACGTCAGGACATCGGACGTAATAAAAATTCGTGTTCTTTGCTATTTTGCACCTTCATATCTTTGCAGCATGATCAATTCCAAGGGAAGACTTCACCCAAAGCCTCCAAGTTGGCAGCTTCAGCAGTTTCAGCTACTGCTTCTGGATCTGAAACATGCCTTTTTTTCCTCATGATCTTTAAGGTCTTCAAGCTTTCAGGCTAAATGTCTCATATGAGGTTCTTCTTTCTCACATTCAGGCCTTCACCGCCTCTTCTTTGATTAAGTGTTTATTTTACCTCTTTTTTTTTATTCTCCTTTTATTTCTTCATACCTTACATGTCTTTTGCTTCTTTTCAGTTGGTAGGACTTTTGATCTTTTCTGATGGAAGGCCGTTGTTTTAACCATGCCTTGTTTATTAAATGAGCTGCATGAATAAAAATAAGAGCCAACTGAATATTGTTTCTCAATAATAGCCCTGTTTGTTTATAATGGTTATGTATGAGCAACTATATTATGAGATGATTGATACAAAGTGAATGTGTATATGATTGAAATACATGTAAGGGTCCTAATTTATTTCAACTGTGGTATTAATATAAGAAAATATCTGCATATTTATAGACATTTTAAGAGAACAATAAAGAAAATATAATATGGACGTTTTCCTTAACAATGAGGATTTCTTATGAACATGAGATTAGCTGACAAAAATTAGAGATCTAATATGAGAGAGATCCTCATGGTTTAGAAGTAATTTTTTGAAATGGAGAGATTCAGAGCTTTGGGAGCTCTTATAGTGGTGTTGGGGGGAGTTATTTGGATGGATCTTTGTGTTGAGATTAGATTCTCACCCACATTCTATTGAGCTTAGGTTGAAATCCTCATGGTGCAACATATGCGATTTAATTTAAGTTTGAGATTTTTTTTTTGAGATATGTGATGATAATGAAAAGGGATTGAATATTTCTTATTTTTATTGCATATATTTGTATTAATATAATTAGGATTTGTTGTTATGCCATATGTGAACAACTATTCTCCTATTTAATCAATTTTAAAAAATTAGAGATCCCATATGAGAAATTGTGTTCATAAGTTTGGAAAAATGTCGAGGTTTTAAAAAAGCGGATTGGATCGTAAGGCTAAGATAAAAATGAAAGATGATTTGAGAGAGAGATGATAAAGATGGGTCCAATGACTTGAGAGCTCTAATTGTGGTGTTGAGAGAGTTGTTGGGGATAGATTTTGATGTTGAGATTGAAAATTGATAAAGTTTGTGATTTAAATTCTATTAGACATGGGGATGGTGAGATTGATGTTGAGATTGAAAATTGTTAAGAAATTTTTGTGATGCATGATGATAGTGAACGTATTGGATATTTATCATTTTATGCATATTTATATTCATATCATTAGGGTTTGTGGTTATGTTGTATGTAAATCGTCATTCTCATATTGTATTACTTTTTCATTATAGAGAATTTTTCTCTCTATTTGTGATTTTTTACTTGGTTATAATTTTCATGTAGATGAGTTTTTTTTTTCTTAAATTTTATTTTTGTTAGCTATTTTTCAATATTATTGTTAAAAAAAGGAGATAGTTGAGATGACGTGGGGAGCATAGAGAGGGTTGGGTGGATATAAGCGAATTGCAAGAGGGTTGAAGAGGACCTTATTGTGAATTCCCAAGAACTATGATTGTTCTCCTAAAATTGACAAGAGAGAGAGAGAGAGAGAGAGAGAGAGAGAGAGAGAGAGAGAATCACATGATTTTAGAGTTACTGCGATTGGAGGATGTTGAGCACTTTTTAGAGAGGAGCAAGTGCGAAAGGTTAGCAATAAAAATGTATATATTTTTTTTATTTTTGTTATTTATACAATAAAGATTTAGCAAAGAGTTTTTAAATTTATGAACAACATTTGGCTTCATGTTTCGAGTATTATAAAGCTAAAAATAAGGACAAAAAATCACAATTATTCTTACATGCATTATCAAACATCAATTTAGAAAATTTAATGAAAAATTTGATTCATAACCTGATTAATGAAGAGATTCAATATTATCTAGAGATAAAATCAAAGAATATGTCTGAAACTTCCTTGCAAATATATTTGCAAAACAAATTTTTTCTTGACCTCGACCATTAGCTTTCTTTGGAATAGTACCGTCCTTCTTCAAGTGACCCTTCTTTCCAAAGTTCCATCACAAAATTTTCACTCTACCTTTTTTTTTGAAAGAAAATGAACCTTTGCATTAAAATAACAAAATTATTACAAAATACTCAAAGCAAATCTAAAGCATCAAACTCCTTCAAAATAAACAAGAAAGAAGGAGGAATATCTACATCACTAAGTTCATTCCAAATAAAACTTTTAACCAAAGAAAAATTAGCACAACAATATGCAAATTTATTACAACCTCTACTAGAAAAATTGAAAGAAACTTGATGGAAATTTTGAATGAATGCCAAATTCTCTTTAATCCTTTCTTTATTCTTCAATTTCTTCAAGGACTGTTGAAGAAGTTTGATAATATTGATATTATCCCCTTCTATAATGACACCATGTGCTTCCAACATCCATGCTTGAATGACATTTTTAATTGTACAACTTCCAATAATTCCAACTGTGCTATATCCCAATGCAAATAGTTAACACCAAAAGCAAGTAAAAACCTGCCTTTAGATCTCTGAAAACTCCGCCAATACCTGTCATATTATTACTACTTAAAGAAGCATCAATGATAATCTTTATCCATCCGGGTGGAAGAGGATGTCAAGAAGAAAAGAGCTTACGCTGGTTGACATCCTAGTTGTCTGAATAAATATTAATAATTGGAAGAACTGAAGCAATTGATATCGTGTTGGCCACAATATACACATCAGTATCTTCCCTTTCTCCATGAACCAATTTGTTTATACTCTTCTAAATGAGAAAAATAGTAGTACAATAAATATTAGCAATGAATGAGTTGGTACCTGCTAGTGTTCATAATTTTGTTGTATATTCTACAAAATTTGAGAATACTGGTACTTAGAATCCCCATTTGTTTAAAAGAGCAATTATATTCTTTAGTTTCCCACACTTTTCAGCAATTTGATTGCTATCTTTCGCCTCCTCACAACCTCTTGGGCATCCACAATATTTAAGCATTCTTCTATACATCAAAAAGGAGTTGGATGGAACAACATCACTATACAGTTTCCACTTAAACAGCTCTACACGAAATCTCAACTTGATTTTTTTCATCCATTTCCATAATTCCATATTAGAACTGTAATCCATAGCAGCTTTCCGAGACATTGCAAGAATAGTTTAGATGTAGCTTTCAACTTCAATTCAATTTGATCCATTCCATGATCTACATAAATTGAAACTTGTAAGATAAGCTCGACCAAATAATTGCCAAAAAACATTTGAAGCAGTTTTTCATTCCAAATTCCATTTGTAATAAAGTAACCAAGATCATAATTTATATTTTCTAAATCAGCTACAAATGTAGGCCATTTAGAAATTTATATTTATTGTACTACTATTTTTTTTTTGAGTTGGAAGTGCTAACTTTTCTTCTAAAAAAAGAAAAAAACTTGAGTGGGACATAGTCTTCATTGTGAGCTATTGCTATGAGAGCTCTTATAGTGGTCTTAGGAGAGTTGTTTGGATGGATCTCAATTAGTGTTAGAATTTGTCACCTATGCTTTATTGTGCATGGGTTGAAATGATCACAGTGCAATATATGCGGCTCAATTTAAGCATTAGATTTTTTTTCTTGCGATGCATGCTGATAGTGAATGTATTGGATATTTATTATTTTATGCATATTTATATTCATATCATTAGGGTTTGTGGTTATGTTGTATGTAAATCGTCATTCTCATATTGTATTTCTTTTTCAATATAGTGAATTTTCCTCTCTATTTGTGATTTTTCACCTGGTTATAATTTTTCATGTAGATGAGTTGTTTTTTTAATTTTATTTTTGTTAGCTATTTTTCAATATTATTGTTAAAAAAAGGAGATAGTTGAGATGATGTGGGGAGCATAGATAGGGTTGGGTGGATCGAATTGCAAGAGAGGGAAGAGGACCTTATTGTGAATTTCCAAGAACTATGATTGTTCTCCTAAAATTGTCAAGAGAGAGAGAGAGAGAGAGAGAGAGAGAGAGAGAGAGAGAGAGAGAGAGAGAGAGAATCACATGATTTTAGAGTTACTGCGATTGGACGATGTTGACCACTTTTTAGATAGGAGCAAGTGCCAAAGGTTAGCAATAAAAATGTATATTTTTTTACTTTTGTTATTTATACAATAAAGATTTAGCAAAGAGTTTTTAAATTTATGAACAGCATTTGGCTTCATGTTTCGAGTATTATAAAGCTAAAAATAAGGACAAAAAATCAAAATTATTCTTTCATGCATTATCCAACATCAATTTAAAAAATTTAATGACAAATTTGATTCATAACCTGATTAATGAAGAGAATCAATATTATCTAGAGATAAAATCAAAGAATATGT